GTTCGCTTAGCACTGGACAGGTGGGAAAAAAGTGGCCGAGCAGCCCCGGACAGCTTCCTTTTACCCCGGAGCGACTGGTTGAACGACTTTTGAGGGCGTAGAGTCACAAAGAGCTAGGAATGAATAAAAATATGACTGCATCTAAAAACGAAAGACTTTTTTGACGTTTTCTCTTTTTGATGGACGAGGTATGTGTATTCCTGTTGGTAATCCGTATAGGCGGATCCAGGATGGCCTCTGTCGACGAGAATACTTTAAAATATGTCTATTAATTACCAGAAACCTAGCTAAAGCATTTAATCCCAAATAATCAGGAGATAAAATTCCTAAAGATGATCAGTACCCTCTAATTCACATAACTGAATAAAAAGAACAATCTAAAAATGTTCAAAAAAGTGAGGTGGGAAGAGAGGGGGGGAGGACGGGGGAGAAGTGGATTTTCCGGTGGGCGATGACTGGGAGGCATCAGAGGTGCGGAGGAGAGTTTTCTTCAGTTTTAGCACTGTTACCTGTGCCTTCCCCTTCCAGTCTCCCGGGGTCTGCTAGTGGTCATCTTTCCTGTAGAAATTGCTAGTTTTTGCCGCTAGTTTTAGACTGGGATGTTCAAATTATTGTTGCCATTCCCCCCGAAGATTGTGTGGTTCCTAAAACGACAGTATGGCCTTGATAAGCAATACAATTTTTGGAGAGGGGTAATGATAGTTATTGGGTACCTTGTACTCTATAATTGCATTGCCATTTTTACGCGTTTTGTGCTGTGTAACAGCAGTACAAAACGCATATTGCCACGGGATTGTCTGTATGTGTGTGCCCGCAGCAACTTGTCCGCAACTTTCAACTCGTGTGTGTGTGTGTGTGTGTGTGTGTGTGTGTGTGTGTCCGCAGCAACTTGTCTGCAACTTTCAACTCGAATGTCTGTGTTGTGTGTTTGTGTGTGTGTGTGTGTGTCCGCAGCAACTTGGTCCGCAACTTTCAACTCGGGAACCACAAAAGCTAGGAAGCTGAAAATTTAGGGTAACGTTCCCCACCGCAACTTTCAACTCGGGAGATTGTTACGGGGTTGTCTGTGTGTGTGTGTCCGCAGCAACTTGTCCGCAACTTTCAACTCGGAAACCACAAAGCTAGGAAGCTGAAAATTTAGGGGAACGTTCCCCACCCACGTGTGACCCAGCAAATTTAAATTTAGCTTTCTCGTACTCGCAGGTAACAAGTATGGCTCCGTGAAAGTTTTTTACGGGTAAATTAATATCTCGGGAACCGCGGAGTCCAGATGGCTGAAATTTTAGGGTAATGACCCCCTGCCCACGCCCAACCTTGCCTATTCAAATTCAGCGTTCCCGCGCGCTTGAGTATCACCTACGGCCTCGTAAAAATTTTTGCGTGTAAACTATTAACTAGGGAATCGCGGAAAGATATTCACCTTTCAAGTTCTCGAATTCAGCTTTCATGCGCTGGTGCGTGAAATTTTTAGCTGGTTTCCAATGTTTGGAATGGGCTGAATTGCATAAAACGCATGATCGCACCAGCTACTCTGGTGCGTGTTGTTATTTTTAGATAATTTGTCGAAATGCATTGGCGAAATGACAGTTTGACACCTCTGTTATTATTAGCAGCTTATTA